GATTTTGTCAAATTGTAAATGTGGGTTTAAGGCATTTTAGTAATCGACGTAAATAACAAAGAAACTGTCAATTAGGAAGTACGCAAAGGAATTGTCTATTAATCTCTATAAACAACAGATGTAGCATGATTCATATCCTGTATAGCTTAGTATAAGTAAACCACGAGTTGTAAACTTAATTTAGATTGTGTTTGAACGTCATTGAATAAAGAAGTGAACGAAAACGAACGTATACAGTCCCTTTAGCTGCGCAGAGCTGGAAAATTCTGCGACATGTTTTATTAAGAAACTGTGGATAGAAATAAGACTCTGTATGGATTCAGACAGCTTTGTGATTATGCTTGAACAACTTTTAATCAGAAGTTTATTCAATCTGACAGAAAATAAAATAACTGTCTTGAATAAGAAAACGTTACTACAGTGTTTTCACGCAACGCGATAAACGCATGACGGTAAAATTTCTTTTTAAAGGTGTTTAAAATTCCGTTAAGCTACAAAAAATATATAAGAACATTCAACATTGGCCGTTAGCAATATTAAGACCATCGATGAATTTTGTCTCGTTAGAAATGATTTTTTTCTAAAAGATCAACAATATGCAAATTTTCGCGAATGTTTTGATTTCACATGTGCAGCGTAAACTTTGCTAAAAGCGATAAACCCAAGCATTTCAAGGATTAAATCAATCAGTATTGATACAAATATAGTTATTTTCTTGTTATCTCATTTTTAAGCTTTCTCTAGCCAAAAATATCACATATATACGATTAGCAAGATTATTGCGTTGTTTTCACAAAAACGTCCAAATACCCGATATTCATCATATCCCCGTTTTGCGAAAAATGCGTTGCCCAAARATATTRTTCTTTCCTTTTGTTAACTGGCCYAAGTAGTCTACCTCGGTGATATTGTGGTTTTCAGATCACGAYGCACTTCGGAGAAAATTGCATTTTATGATTGGTACTATTCGAGGAATTGTTAATTCGCTGTCAGACGGGTATATTCTTATACTCCCCAAACACCTAGGATTTATCGTATTTCAATATCTTTATACCACATCATTACCACGACATTAAATAATAATACAGACAAGTATCARTAAATTTCAATAAAAGCCCGCGATTCTAGAGCCTTGGAAAATAGACACAAATYACATCGTTCAGAATCGCCATTTTACGCGTTCTCGACCGGGTCTGAAAAACATCGCTTAAAAAATTAAAAAAAAACTTGAACTCAAAAAGATGACGATTTTTGTTCCTCATAATAGTTAGTTGTTTCATGAAAATCGGTGATGTCGAGAAATTCGAGTGGTCGGTTCTTACGCGGACTGCCTCTTAAAAGTGTTCCTTCGTATGTGTGGCTATTTTAGCTTTAGATGTATCTTGTGTCTTGGTTTTGCAGTCGCGCAAATAAATAAAGATTCTAAACGCGTTTTCCTGCGTATGAATGACTTTTTGATTGTAAGCGCCGTCACGGTCGCATGACTTTTTTAAACCCCTCAAGAAATTTTTTGATTTTCTACCTTTCTTACGTTCTTATAAACTTTGTACATTTGTAAATACCTTATTTTTATATTCAAGAATCACAAGATTCATGTATTTTAAYTTATTTTATTACGTATCACCGAAGCCGACCTGGTTTCCGTACTGTCATCAACTCGGACCTGAYCAAATGCCTGACTCATCAAATTATGAATATGCTCAATCTCGTTATTGGAATAACACGTACTCTAGTAACAATGGTTATGRTACTATCTACAACCCAAATTTTGTAAGAAGAGGCAAAAGGGCTGGTAAAAGAGTACTGGAAAGAGAATCTATTTGTGAGAATAGAATCGAAACCGTTATTCATCACTGACCGAACTACAAATTTGCATATAACTCTTTGGACAAAATGATTTACAAAATGATCAGTCTGTTGCGTCTACAAAAGACAGCSAAAGGACGAGCCATAGAGACGAACTTCGAGTGCTTCCAGTGCGGTGTGGCATTATGCAAGTTGCACTGCTTCCGCGACTACCATCAAGGGTAAGCTGCTTTCGTTTTTAGAACTTTTCCTTCTTTCCTGAAATAAATAACTAGTGAAACATTATTTGGTAGAATTTCTCTTTTCTTTTCGACTCTTTTGGCTTATATTTAGCCCCTGTTYGACTTGTATTTGGCTTGTATTTTGGCTGCATTTTGAATTTATTTTTGACGTGGTTTTGCGCACGATTACAAATTTTATCTTTTTCGATCTAGACTGTTCAGTTTTGGCCATTTTTACATTATTTTTGACATTATTTTTACTTAGGTTGACCTTTTGTTGATTTAGTTTGGCAATAAACATTACTTTGACGTGACATATTGTGTGTGTATTTACTGCGCATSTGGTTTATTTTTGCGCGTCATTTTTGCTCGCAATTTTTCTAAAAATGCCAAGGGACATACGTTGTCCCGTGCACAAAGCGCCCAGTAGTCAAAGGGTTAACAACACTCAACACGGCTTCCTGCCTGGAAAATCTTGTACCACCCAGCTACTCGAGGTAATACACCATATCAGCTCTTTGTTGGATCGCGGGAAACAAACCGACGTCATTTACATGGACATGTCGAAAGCATTCGACAAGGTGGACCATGCCACGCTTCTCTACAAACTTGAGCGCAGTTTCGGCATTTCTGGTCCCCTTCTTTGCTAGTTCAACTCTTACTTGAGCAACAGAAGACAATGGGTAACAGTTCTTGTCTGCACGTCATCCGAAGCATCAGTCACTTCCGGCGTCCCACAGGGCAGCCTATTGGGGCCCWWWTWWTYYTKSC